CTGATGGTGGATGAATATTATTCATATGCTTTTGAATTTTCATTAAATCATTCAAAGTTATTTTGCCATGCCCTATCTAAAGCTATTTTACGATTAAAGATGCAATTCCAATAAATAAATTATGCATCGGATCTACAGGTAAAAAACGGATTGGATCGAAATAAGGTAAACGGAGCATTTCTGACCATTTTACATGTGATTTCCTTGCATGTCTTTTTCTAGCTTCATTGCTTTTGCATTTTCTCCATTCTTAAGCTGCTTCTCAATGTTCACTTGCATCCTTAGCAATAAACCATTCATTAATATTATCCATATCGCCGAAATTTCTGTTTTTTGCAACTTTTAAACATCTATGACAGCATACAGTGGCTGAATAAGTGCCACATAATTTTCTAGCGGCTGGGATATCACAACAACAAGCAATTATTACGCACTTGATCAATTTACCAAATAAATGTTCAAAAGTTTGATCTAATATTACACCTTTCCATAAAGATTGAAATTGATCAACGATTGATGCTAAATAGTGGTTGATCTGGTATAAACTTGCTTCGTTAGAACCTGGCATTAATCCTAAAATAAGCATATTTTCAGGTTTAAAGCGTAATTCTCTTGGAAGATTACAAATAGCTCTGTATATAGCACTGGAACTATGAACTGTCTTTTCGAATGGCTGAAACCAGTCAACGTTAATCATAATACCTAAATGATCATCTGCATGTTCTTTATTAAAAAATTTCTGTTCGTTTAAGAGCTCTTCTATATCATATAATTCTCCATTGTTTGAAAACTTTTTCCAAATATTGCCGTCATATATATCACACAGGATTTCTTCTTGGGCATTCCGATTGGTCCATAATCTGAGATTTTTTTCAAAACCTGACCTTTGATACATATGTAAAAGTTGATTTTTTATATTGGCCATTGGATAAATCAACAATGGTGAATTAACGATTTTACTACCTCCTAGCTCTTTTTGTTCTGATAAAGAAGCATTACATTTTCGAAGAAAGTGACGGTGATGATTCAGAAATTGTATATGATCACATCTTTTTATCGCTTTCTGCTCTTGAATTGTGTGTTGTTCAACATCATTTACATTATACAACTTATGACACGAAGGACACACTGAAAACGTGATGAATTGATGTTTCAATCCCAATTTCTTTCTTGTAGTATATAAAGAAGTTGGAAAGTCTTTAAACTGATCATTATGATCCAATTCTGTTAAAACATGTTTAACAAACTTGATTAATGTGTCAGTTGCTGTATCTGATAAGCGAAATCTGATTTGAAATCTTAAAATGAATATAATGATCCATTCTTCGTCGATATTTTGTAGATCATCAAAACTGTCAAGAAAATCAAAACCTGGTAGAGAATAATCTTCAAAAACATCAGCATTGCTATTATTGCTATTATCGCTATCATTGCTATTATCACTATCATTACTATTATCGCTATCGTTATCATCGCCACCAGAACTTGAACTACTATTAGTATTATTATTATTATCAGCTTCTTTAGAATTTTCCCAAATAGTATTATTTCTGTTTCATTTTCTCAGTTTCAAAGAAATTAATGCTAAATTTTCTAATTGTGATGTACCTTGGAGTTCAATAGAAGATTCTTCAGCTTGGAGTTCGATAGAAGATTCTTCATTAATAAATGAGCATTGTGATAATTCAATCATTGGATCATTTTCATTTTGTATTTATCACAAAATTTTGTGACTTTTGTGATATATTGTGAAATGCCATAAATCATCGTCCCTGGTCAGATGAGTCAAAATTTATGATTTATGGATCAGATGGTAGAGAATATTGTTGGAAAAAACCAAATGAACCGTT